TTAGTTTCTGACTTTTCAGTGTCTTTTACCTTTGTTTTCAGGATATGGTGTTTTCCGCCCCGTTTTGGGTTTCCTGTTTTAATGTTTGAATTTCTGCAGCTTTGATATGTTGTAGAGAATGGAAAAAAAATCTAAGAATTTTACCACTTGTACATATACACTAGAAAAAAAAAAAAAAGACAGAAAAGAAAACCCAAACCTAGTGCCTTCTTATACTTCCAGCCAGTTGTCTCACTTGTGATGGAATGTGATCACAGACCAGGATGTAGGGTTAGATGTTTGTACCTGCTATAATACATCAAGGAGCCTAATGCCTGTTTCCCCTCATTGTTAGGGACACACTTTGGTCCTGGTAGTTTGGGAATACATGAGACATTTGTTTAGGAAGGAAAGAAGGAAGGAAGGAAGGAAGGAAGGAAGGAAGGAAGGAAGGAAGGAAGGAAGGAAGGAGAAACTCATTGTATAGCCCAATGGTTCAGTATGAAAAGAGAATTTTGCTTTTTGTGTCTCTTGATAGGCACGAAAGCGATTCATATCCCTGGTTCCTGGCAATGTCTTTCTTCCCAGCCTCCTCTCACATCCCACCCTTCCCAGAACTGTCTTTGCCGAACTTGACCTGCCCACCCTCCCTTTGTTCTCACAGTATGTGAGATGACTGTGCCTGTGGAGGTAGAAAATTCTCTCTCCTTTGCTCTCCTGAGTCCCACTCATGATCTGGCAGCACCCCTTTCTGGGGCAGGGGATGGAAGTTGGTGGTGATCACAGAATTGTTTTTGGTAGGGAGGGGGAACCCTCTTTAACTTATGTCTAAAATGTTATCCCTTTTCAGCTGTGTTTGGAGAAGTGATATTTGACTCAGTAATAGTGCATCAAACTTGTCCTCATATTAATTTGCAGTCTTGCTATGGTGTTTTATTTTTCTATTTATTGGCCCTAAAAGGAGAAAAAGGTGTGTGTGTGTGTGTGTGTGAGAGAGAGAGAGAGAGAGAGAGAGAGAGAGAGAGAATGTGTGAGTGTGTATGTGTGAGTGTGTGTGTTTATGAGTGTGTGTGTGTGTGAGTGGGTGTGTGTGACACACAAATGAGGTCAAAGCAGGATGTCAGGTGTCATCTGTTGATCTTTACTCTCCAGGATGTCGGGTGTCTTCTGTCGATCTTTACTCTCTCGAGATAAGGCCTCTCATTGAATCTGAGCTCACTGTTTTGGCTAGGCTGCCTAGCAAGTAAGCCACTGGTGTCTGCCTGGCTTTGCTAATGCTGGGGTCACAGGCACACATGACAGTCGGTGTCTAGCCTTTGTGTGGGTTCTGGGAATTCAAACACAGGTCCTCATGCCTGCATAGGAGTGCTCTTACCCACTGAGCCTTCTCTCCAGCTCTGGAAGAGGATTTACATTTATTCCCATTTACTTGTCATTCTTATTACAGTGCTGATTTGAAAATGCATTCAGTTTGGTAATCTCAGATAGGAGGACAGCCAAGTGCTCAGGCAGGCAGCTCCCAGAACTACATGGCTGCTGCCTTTGAATACTGGCTCTGCCATTTGTTGGCCAACTCCTATTAGGTAGGTGCTTAATCTTTTTGTTCCTGACAGTCCTCTAATCTACAAAGCAAAGGTGATTATAGTAACCACAATGAAAATAGCAGCTAGTGTTTGTTGTGTGCTTAGTGAGAAAGATACTGTGGCCAGGCCTTCCCTGACATTTCCTTGAAGGCCCACAACAGTTTTGTGCCTTCTACCTTGTGACGGTAAAATGCACAAGCAGTTACTGTGCACTGGGATTCATTCTATACTGTCTTCTTTCCTAGATTTGGAGATGGAGGTAGAGGGAGGTTCCACTGAGGACTTGGAGCTCCTCTGTGGCACTGTGGGGCTCACAGGCAAGAAGGGGGTAATTTATGAATTAGAGGGAGGTTCCACTGAGGACTTGGAGCTCCTCTGTGGCACTGTGGGATCCACTGGCAAGAAGGAGGTGATCCATGCAGCACACCCAGCTACTTTGTTGAAATGAGACAGAGTTCTTCCTACTCTTAATATACAAGACTTGCTCCTAGTAACATTGTCAGAAAACAGCTTGTATGGATCCTTACATAGCTGTGCTTACCTGCCATCCTGCAAAGTTCCATCCTACTTACCTACCTCTGGATGACTCCCTTGTACCCACACCAGAGCCCCATGGCCATGCTCCTTCACCCTTTGTGGCCTGGATTACTTAACTAAAAAAATGTGAGCACATAAGATATGGGGTCAGCTAATTGTCGCTCAGCCTATAAATGAATCAAACACAAGAAGAACAGTTATCTGCACTGGGTTGTCAGGAAAAGCCTTATTCTGAAGAGAGATGTCCCAAGGGGCTGGGTGGTCCCTCCCATGGCATCTGACAGCTGAGTAGTGTTTATAGCAGTGACTGCAGGCTCTCCACTGGCCCTAACACCTACACAGGCACACCAGTCTGTGAATAGTGTCAGATACTGTACAAAGTCCCACCATTAAAAAGAAATGTGACTGGCATGTGCATAGTGAAGACACTCATTCTCTGATCAGTTCAGAAACACACCCTACATCAAGCAGTCCCAGGACTGGGTCCTCTCAATGTGGCGGGAGGGGTGCTCCCTGACCAGTTTTGGAAGCTAGCACCTATCAGAACTGACAGTGTGCAAATCCTGATCCAGTATTTCCTCAACTTTGAGTTATCTGTAAAGACAAGCTGCCAGGACTCCTTAGGGGATGTTAGTAATGGATGCTGAATGCTTGCCCATGCATTGTTTGTAAAGACTGCAGAACTGTCCAGATGTTCATCAGTAGGCAGTACACACAGGACCAGCCATGCTGACAGACTGGGCATTTGTTACAGAGTGTCGTCAAGGCTGGGAAGCATGTTCAAGACACTGGCTTCAACCCCTGATAAGAAGGAAGGAGTCATTCTGTACATACAAATCGTGTGTCATGTTCCATTGTTTTAAAAATATTTTTTACAGGTACCACAAGTTACATATTCATAGATAACCCTATCCTGTGAAAGTAATTGTGTGTGTCAGAATTACCAGTAGAGAAAACCATCTAAAATAATAAAAATCTAAAATTATAGATGTTAAACACAGGATAGCTTTCTTTTAAGAATACTTTTTTAGGATGTTTAAATTATTAAGATTTATTTTTATTAGTTTTATTTAGGAGAGGGAGAGAGAGAAAGAGAGAGAGAGAGAATACCATGTATGTACAGGTGTCTACAGAGGCCAGAAGAAGGTATGAGATTCTTTGGAGCTGAAGTTACAGGTGGTGGTCAGCCATCCAATGTGGATGCAGGGAACCAAACCCAGGTCCCTTGGAACAGCAACAGGTGTTCCTAACCACTGAGCAACCTCTCCAGCACCATGGTTTTGTTTGGTTGGTTGTTTTATTTTGTTTGTTTGGTTGTTTTTTGTGTATGTGTGAGTGTGTGCCATGTGTGGACATGTATCAGTGGAGGCCAGAAGAGAGTGTTGGCTCCCCTGGACCTAGAGTTTCAGGTATGCTCAGAACTGGGGTCCTGTGCACTCCTAACCACTGAGCCATCCATCTACCTAACTCCAGCTCTGTGTTTTTAAACAAATTATTAAATCTCTGGGAAATTGTTAATACAATGATTTGAGCAGCCAAATAACTTCTCTAGATAGATAAACATTTTAAAAATCGTCTCTTAAGTAATGGGAAGTATATTTTAAAATTTGCTGGTTGTTATTTTTTTTTTTTTTTTTTTTTGCCTGATTTGTTAGTATATTCTTCCTTTATTGGGAATATAAATACACAGATGACCAAAAATGATGAAATCATAGGTTCCATGCTGATGAGGGTTTTATTGTAGTTGGTCACTGGAATTTTACTCAGTGATCTCCTGTGGAGGAAATTATTTCCAAACAAACCCCAGGAGGTGTGGCCACTGTTCAGAAGTCCTCTTCCTCATTTGTACTTCAGCTTGACACATGCCCAGGCAGAGCATGATGGGCAACCTCCTGGACACGGCAAAAGACAGCAAGCCCATCCTCTGGTCCCTCACCTCTTAGTTTTTTGCCTTGATGGACCAGGAATCATGGTGGGCATTCAAAGCAGCCGCTGATATGGAAAGTGGTATCCGTGCTTCTGCTGACTGGCTCACTCCTGTGTGACTCAAGTGATGCTGTGACCCACACTGCTTCAAAACAGCAACGGGCAATGGGTCACCAGAGCCTACCTGGCATGAACCCAAGAGGTACTCAGCCAGAAAAAGTGTGGGCCCTCACTGTGCTGGAGCTTCTGAACTCCATTTCACCTCTTCCCTGCAGGGTCATCAGCACTTTATAGTCAAGAAAAGTCAGATCAAGATAGTCAGGTGTCATAGCTACACAGGCTCCATCATAGAAACAGGATTTGAAGTCAGGGTTCTGAAGCCCATGCTCCATATGTACATTACAGACTATTAATTTTGCAGAGAAAGATGCTTTGTGTGTGACACTGATCATGGGAGTAATTACATGACTCTTTAATTTTTGGATTTAGTGTTTGAATCCTCTAAAACATGTATGTAGGTCTGGGAGGATGTCTCAGTTGGTAATATTTGCCTCCTAAGCATGGGCGTGTGCTTATAATCCCAGGACTGAAGAGGCAGAGACCGGTGGATCCTTAGGGCTTGCTGGCTGGCCAGTCTAGTCTAGCTTAGTAGGCAAGTTTAAGGCCAGTTAGAGACTGCATCTCAAAGAAAATCAAAGGTGCCTGAGGAATGGTGCTAGTAATTGTCCTCTCTGTCTCTGTCTCTGTTTCTCTCCCCCCCTCTTCCTCCCCCCTCTCTTTCTCTCTCACACACACAGTATAACTTTGTACTTCATATTCACATTTATCTGTGTACATACAAACATGCACATATATGTACATACATAAAAACATGTATGAATCAATAATAGGCACTTGGGGGCAAAATTATCCAATGTGTCATAGTCCCTTAAAGCAGATGTATAACTCTGATATGTATGTCTCTTTGTTTTGTAGGAAGTGACCAAGTTCACTCCTGGATACTAGTTACAAGCCAAGTGGTTAGCACTGCCTGGAGAGTAACAAGGGCCTCTGTGATGATGGCCATGTCGCTTCTGTCAGCTTCCCTCTGCTACTTCAGAATGCTGCATCTATATTTAGGGCATCGACTGAAATGGTAGGTCACCCTGCCATCTTTCCTTTTCAAAAACACCCTCACCCTACCAAATGTTTTATGTATAATTGTTTCTTTTATATTTTCAGGTGGATTGGCTATCTTCAGAGAAAATTCAAAAGTAAGTACTTTAGTGCATATATTTCCTCATTCTTAAGGGTAGAGAAGGCTAAAGAAAGGAGAAGAATGGGAGATTCAGCAGCCTGTTATTTCTGTTTTGCCCAGGAAACCTCAGTGTGGAGGCAGAAGTAGATTTACTCGGCTATTGTGCAAGAGAGTGGAAAGGAGAAACACGGCGTGCCAAGCTGATGCGGAAGGTACATCTGCTTGTGGGGGTTAAGGCAGACGGGCAGGGTCTGTGAGAATCAGGGTGCATTCTGTTCCATTTTGCCAAACCTGAAGGTCCACCCGCACCAAATGGGGTATAAGGTAAAGTTGCAGCCCAAGTCCCCCTCCCTAGATGTCTCTAAGATGTTCAGTCAAGCTGAGGAGAGGTGGGCTAATGGGGACAGCTTCAACCGAGTATTTGTCACGCTGAGGATAGAAATCAATTAGGTCTGTCACTTGAGGAAACATGAGAACTGCAATTTCTTCCTTTCTGGCTTCTTAACTTCTGCATGTGCTGTGCAGACTCTTCACTGGAGGAACCAGACACCCTGGCATAAGTACTTTGAGGAGTTTTAGAATGTTCTACTGGACTGATCTTGGTAAATATCCCCAACAGCGCTTCCCACTCCTCTCTTGAGCAAAAAAAAAAAAAAAAAAAAAAAAAAGGAGGGAAAGGTCCAATATACACTTTCCTGCAATCTTAAAACTATGCAGTTTTTCACTGGATTAAGTTGTACTCGTCACCAGCTGCAAATAACCTGTCTTCCAGGATCAGTCATCTAAACAGATGCATAAGAGTCACTTAAAAACCCCATGCACAGGGCCACTGAAGTGGCTCAGATAGAAAGCACTTGCTGTCAGTCTGCTGATCTGGGAGCAGGAGAACTATTCTCCACTTCCAAGTGGCTTGTGTGACCTGCACACATACCCAAACACACATACACACACACACACACACGACCACCACCACACAATATTATTGATGGTACTATAGTGATGATGATGATTATAACAATAAAATTAAAAATTAAATAAGAAGCTGGAAACATGGATCACCTGGTAAGAGTACTTGCAATGTGTACATAGGACCTGAGTTCAGTTCCTGGCACCTATGCCAAGAAGCTTACAACTACCTACCTGTAACGCCAGCTCCAGGGAATCCAACAGCTTGTTTGGGCTTTGTGGGTACCTACACTCATGTGAAAACCCTCCCTCTACACACACATACACACACACTCTCTCTCTCTCCCTTTCCTCCCTCTTTCCCTCCCTCCCTTTCTTTCTCTCAAATACACATCATTTAAAAATAAATCTTCAGCCAGGCATGCCTTTAATCCCAACACTTGGAAGGCAGAGGCAGGCAGATCTCTGTGAGGACAGCTTGGTCTACAAAGCTACATAGAGAAACCCTGTCTCAAAAAATCTAAAATAAATGAATAAATCTTCAAAAAATTGTCTTAACCCAGAAAAAAAACTTTAAAAACTAAAATTACATGTACAGTCATCATGTATCACTGCTCTACTTACGTGAGTTACTTGGGAACCATATCCCTCACTGTGCCACTAAGAACGTCACTCTCAGTGTGGACACTGCTGCTCTGTTCCCTGAGCTCACTCTCACCAGCACCTGATGCAGTGGGGTTCATCAGATCATTCTTGTGTACTGGCAGGCATATGAGGAACTGTTCTGGAGGCATCATATTAAATGTGTTCGGCCAGTGAAGAGAGATAACTACGATGCCCTCAGGTCCGTGTTGTTCCAGATCTTCAGCCAAGGTCTCTCTTTTCCATCGTGGATGAAGGAAAAGGACATTGTGAAGGTATGATTCCCCACTGGGAACATGGTCATGTGGGGGCTACAGGTCCTGGCTGGGTAGCTTTGTGCTCAGGATCCTCATGCTGAAGGAGCATTGACAGGCGTTTAGCTGATTCCCTCTGTCATTTGCAGATAAATCATCTCCCAATGCTGGCATTCTCAATTTTGTTCATTTTTAATGCTCTCAGCTTTTCTTGGGGGGGGGGACATTTGTCCTTTGTAATTAAGGAGGTCCGGTGACATGAACCTTCTTACTATAACATAAATGTTTCTTAACAGATGCATACAGATCGTAGCCACCACCCGAAGGTTCTCTCATGTATCTCTGTAGTCAGTTGTCCCAAAACACAATTCCTAATCTGTTTTCTGTCCCTATGGTTTGCTGGTCCCAGTGTCACAAGAATGGAATCATCTATTCAGCCTTTCTAATCTGGCTGCCTTCCCATAGCAACGAGCATCTGCATTTCCTCCCTGCTGTTCCACAAATGTAGAAGTCATCTTTTTGCTCCTTCCTGACAGTCCTTTATATGAACAAAACAAGCTTGACTCACAGTTCAAGGGCATCTGGTTTGTTTCCAGTGCTTAGCAACAATGAACAGGGCCATTAGGAATTGTCTTATATGGGGTTTTATAAGTATGACATCTGTTTCTTTCAGGCAGTGTCTCAGGAGTTAGATTCCTGGTGGTATGGGAGGTGTATGCTTAACTTTCAGAGAAACTCTCACATTGCTCTTCTTTGCATTCCCGCCGTATAGTATTAAGAGTTATAGTCGCCCCATATGGCTGGTCACCAGCATTTAGTATTGTTGGGTTTGTTTATTTTTGGCCATTCTACTAGGTATGTTTTTTTTTTCTTCTTATTCATTTGTGTGTGTGTGTGTGTGTGTGTGTATGTATGTGTGTGTGTGTGTGTGATGTGGGGGAAGGGAGCACACCATAGTGCATGTGGAAGTCAGAGGACAATCCTGTGGAGCTGGTACTCACCGCCCACCTCTACATGGGCTCCAGAGATTGAACTCAGGTCATCAGATTTGTACAGCAAGCTCCATTACCCACTGAGCCATCTTGCCAGCTCTCATTTGCTTTTAATGAGTAGATGCTGAGTGTCTTTTCATGTACCTGCTTGTGAATCCCTATCATCTTCTTGGAAAGTTCATTTTTGTTCATTTTTATTGGATTGTTGTCTTCTTATTGTTTTGAAATCCTTTACATATTTTGAATATGAATGCTTTATTGGATATGTGATTTGTAGATGTTTTCTTCCAGTCTATTAATTTTATCATTTTCTTAATAATTTATGGCAATATATTCTTTTGTACTTATCTTATGTATATGGGTGTTTTGCCTACATTTATGTTGACACACCATGTGCATGCAGTGCTGGTAGCAGGCAGAAAAAGACAATGGGTCCTATGAACTGGAGTTAAAGACAGTTGTGCTCAGACCTGAACCCAGGTCCTCTGGAAGAATAGCAGGTACCCTTAACTGCTAAGACATCTCTCCAGCCCCAGCCATATATTCTTGATGAACAACATGTGAATTCTTGTTTGGATTCTGTTTGCCCAATTTAGGCAACAAGCAATATGAAGTATCCACATATATGGTCCTGTGTGTTCTGTCTCCTTGATACCTTTTATTTAAATTTGTTTTCAGTAGTTCTGTTTCATAGCAAATACTTGTCAAATAAGTGTTGTATGCTAACTCTGCTTCAAGTTAACTAGAATAAAGAACATGTCAGAAATCCTGTGTTCAAACCTCAAGCTTGTGGGATAGGTTTGTATAGACATCATAGTCTAATCTTTGCATAGCCCAGAATTTAATTCAGGGCTCTGTGAAGTTAATGACATTGTTGTTCATTTATAGTGGATGATGAGACAAAGTCCATTCTCAGCTGATGAAGGACAGCCAGGTTGGGAAGCATACTGCACCATTGTATACCCCATCTGCTACTTGGTGTGCCTGCTTTTCTAATGCCATTTGATTACGGACAGTTCCTAAAGGGTTACATCAAGGGCATATGATATTTTATCTAAAAAACGTTGTTTCTATGGACATAATCCTGGCTTTAGATTTTTGTTCAGACTCTACAACTCACTTAATCCACAAATCTAAAACGAAGATGACTATTGCTTTTCTCTTAACTGACTTTCCGAGGATTGCTGCATGAGATAAGATTGTGTGCTGCTGCTGCATTCCAGATTGTGGGTGCTAAGCACGGAGACACTAATCATTGTTGGCATCTACTTCCTTTTCAAGCTTCCTGAAAAACTACTCTTTTCTCAAGGCTGTAACTGGATCCAGCAGTACAGTTTCGGACCTGAGAAGTATACAGGTTCCAATGTGTTTGGAAAGTTACGGAAATGTGTGGAATTATTGAAGATGCAGGTGAGTGTGGAGGGAGAATAAACATCTCGACCACAACCAGCTCCCTGTAATGAGGGGCAGATCCTGACTCGGCATAGGGAAACAGAACTGAGCGCGGAAGGCCTCCTGCTGGCCTCCGCTTGCTTTCTCTTACCAAGTAGTAAGCCAGAGTTAGTGTTCTGTGTGAAGATAGCCTGGGGTAGAAGCTTCAGGGGCTGCACTGGAGACTGGACAAACGAAGGGACTTTGTTTCTAATATGGTACAAAGTCCAGACCTCAGAAATGCCCTTCTGCAGGCATCCTGCTCACACAGTGATGGCGCAGGTGCAATAAGTAGACCGAAAGGTCTGCCTGACTTAATAATAACAGACTTGGGACCATGGAAAGTGTGTGGAGCTTATCTCTTACTGGCTGGCTTATCTGGGGGAAATGCTTTCTGAGTCATAGTCTCTGAAAAACTGTAAATAGCATATACCCTGCAGGGTTATGGTGAGGGTGTGAGTTAATGCACATAGGTGCTGTGCAGAGTGAGCTTAGGCAGCTCTCTCTCCCACCATTCTTCCCTGCTGTAGCCTTTGGATGACCCCATGACCCCAGGCTTTTTAGAGACCTATTGGACACTTTACCTAGTAGTGGTGTGTTTTGAGAAACTTGATTTTATTTTGTTTCTAATATAAAAGTAAGGTGCTTGTGTGTTAGTCTGATAGCTCAGGCTTCTCATATGCCATAAACTGAGGGCTTAAACAACCAATGATTATTTCTTGCAATTATAAAGGTTTGAAGTCTCAGATCAGGAGCTCAGCAGGCAGTGACATTTGCTGACACCCTCCTTCTAGTTTATAGACAGGTGGACAATTCTTTGTTTTGTTTTGCCATTACCTGGCAGAAGGAGAGCCGGAGATTGCTTGGCTTCCTCTTAGAGGCCCACCTGTCCCATTCATGAGGGCTCTAACCCTCAGAGGCCAATCACCACCTAAAGGCCTCGCCTTTTCAGGCTGCCTCCCTGATCTAAGACATTCAGCACATGAATTTGGGAGGCAGGTGAAAATCCAGCCCATGGCAGTATCCTTATGGTTAAAAAGAATCCAGTAGTCCCAAAAGACAAATGTGAAAATGTAAAATGCTGCCCTCCTCCACTGCCCTGCTGGCTCCCCCTTTCGCTGATTTTGTTAGTACTTCACAAGTTGTACAGTGGTTTGTCCTCCTCAGCTCACCCTTACCCCTGTGTTTGCAGTGGACTGAGTTTAGTGGGATGAGAGATTACCACAAGAGAGGGAGCATGTGCAACATGCTGTTCTCCGACGCCATCCTGGAGTATAAGCTGTATGAAGCTTTGAAGTTCATCATGCTCTACCAGGTCACAGAAATGTATGAACAGATGAAGACAAACAAGGTCATCCCCAGTCTCTTCCGACTCCTGTTTTCCAGGGAGTCCTCATCAGACCCTCTGAGCTTCATGATGAATCACCTGAATTCCATAGGGGACACCTGTGGATTGGAGCAGGTGAGTGGGACTCAACGGTGTGTGATCCAAGATGGCTCGGTAAGGCTTGAACCTGTGGGCCTTTAGGGGTTATGTGTAGTAGTGAGGAAGCCAGCTGCAGAGAGGGGCTGGCTGGGATTGCTGGCCCCACATGTGTGAAAAATTAGCAGGCCTTGTTGCTGGCTACTCTGTCCTGTGAGGTCAAGGACCCTTGGACCAGAGAGGGCTGGTTCATAGAGCCTTGTGACCACACAGATACTAACTGGGAAGAGGCCACTCAGAAAGCCAGATCATTGTGGGGAAGCATTTGGTTACCTGCCACAGATAAAGGTTAGTGACAACTGTAAGGTCAGAGAAAGCCCTTCCCCATGATAAAGGTCTTCCATTTACTTGTTTTTTATCCAACATCTTTACTAAGTCAAATTGGTTAGAAAGCAGTGCAGTTCTTAATAGCAAATGCTCTCCTCCCCTCTCTTCTCCTTTCCTCTTCTCCTTCTCCCCTTCCATCCCTTCCCCTTTCCTTTTCCCCTTTGAGATAAGGTCTCACTCTGTAGCCCAGGCTAGTCTGGAACTCACTATGGAGCCCAGACTGGCCTCCAGCTCATGGCAATCCTGCTGTCTCAGCTCCCCGAGAGCAGAGATTGAGGCTATGAGCCACTGCCCTGGCTTGAGCATTCCTTTCTGATTCTGAACAGTTTCTCCTGATTCCATCTCACTAGACAGACATGGTCCTGCCCTCCTTCCACAGCACAGGCATTTGTCCCTAAGCCATGCCCAGGTGCTTTATGGGTCACTCACTCTGTTACAGAGTGGGTCATTTCATAAACAGTAGCAGACCTCATCGTGGTGGGAGTGTATAAAGACAGTCTGTGACCTGGCTTTCATCTTGTCCCCAGATTGACATGTTTATACTCGGGTATTCCCTTCAAGTAAAGATAAAAGTGTTCCGACTGTTCAAGTTTAACTCCAGAGACTTTGCAGTCTGCTATCCCGAGGAGCCTCTCAGGGAGTGGCCAGAGATCTCGCTGCTGACTGAGAATGACCGCCAGTACCACATTCCCATCTTTTAAGTCTGCGGAAGACTAAGCATCGACTCTTCTCAACGACAGTGGTCACACTTGCACGAGTGTTTCTGAAATACCCACAGTAGCATCTCAGCCAAGGAGGGCACCAAGACCTACGGGGACACCGGGTGGAGAGAGCCAGGGTGTGTTGCCTTTCTCCTTCAGTGATTTCCTCCACAGCAGCTCACATTTGGGCTTTGATCGGTTGGCTTTGTAATAGGAGTATCACAGCATCATGTGCCTTTATACATAGAGAAACTTAATGTGGACAGAAATGGGGAGGGGAAAGGCTGACCTCAGCAGCAGGGACTTTTTTTTTTTAATCTCTGACCTTTGTGTTCTATGGTAAGAATCTCTCTGGGGATTTGGGATGTTCATAAATAAACAGGGCTACGTTTTATAAGCATTACCTTCCTGGGATTCTTTGTTGTTTACTAATTTTCTGGAACTACCTAACTAATGTTAAAATACCGTGTGTGCAAGAAAACCCACAGAACCAGTTAACCAGGGCTCACAGGGGCTCACAGAGACTGAACTGACAACCAGGGAGCCTGCATGGGACTGACCAAGGCCCTCTGCATGTGCATTACAGTTTTGTAGCTTGGTCCTCTTGTGGAAACTCTGTTGTCTGCTTTTGGGATTCATTCCTCCTATGGCGTTTCCTCATCCAGTCCTAATAGAAGAGGAGATGCCTTGTCTCATTGCAACTTGAAGTACCATGGCTGGTTGATGTCCATGGGAGGCCTGCCCTCTTCTGAAGAGAAACAGAGGAGGAATGGATGGAAGGGAAGAGAGGAAGTGTGTGTGGGTGGGGGGAACTAAGAGGAGAGGAGGGAAGAGAAACTTTGGTTGGGATATAAAAAACAAAAAATAAACAAAAATAGTAAACATCATGTGTGTGTTTATATACATGTGAGTTTATATGTACATACATACATGTATTCATATATACACAAACACAACCACTGGTTTGTAATATTGTATAATTTCTTTATATCTACTTTTAGGGGGAAACTGTTGAGTCTGGTCAGTTTATATCAGTTTATTTAAATAAAAGAAGGTAAATCCTATGGATTTAGACAACTGTGTAGTAAGTACTTTTTAAAACTGTCATAAAAACATTAAGCTATACTTTATTTAGTCTTTATTTACATTGCTATTGAGTGAGTAGAATCTTGTGATTGGCTGGGCAACATCTCAGGTACAGAAGGGTCTGTGTCATCCTAGAATCCCTGAGGACTTCAGTTAAACAGCAAAAGAGACTTGAGTGCAGGTGGGACTAATGAACCAGCAATCCAATCTTGAAGGTATCTGTGCACCTGAGCGTTCCAGGTGGCTCTGGTGTGAAGGAAAGGCGTATAAGGAAACGAGTTCCTGCATCACAGCACACCAGCTTTGAAGACAGGAAAAGGCCACAGGCAATGGGTGCTGGGATCTCTACAAACTAGAGAAGAGCAGAGACAGACCTTCCTCCGAGCCCTAACACCATGCTTTTGGCCTACTGGTGTCTCAGTCACACCTCTAACACGGTAGGATAACGGGTTTGAATTTAAGCCTGCTTCTGCTTTGTTTGGGGTAGGGGTGGGAGAGGGTCTCTTAATGCAGCCCCAGTTGCCTTGGAACTCACTGTAGACCAGGCTAGCCTCAAGTTCCTGAGTGCTGGGATTAAACTTGTGTTCTGCTACACCACGCCTGTCTTAGTTAAGGTTTCTATTGCTGAAGAGATACCATGACCACAGCACCTCTTATAAAGAACAACATTTAATTGGGATGGCTTATAGTTCAGAGGTTCAGTCTATTATCATCATGATGGGACATGGTGGGGTCTAGGCAGACATGGTGCTGGAGTAGGAGCTAAAAGTTCTACATCTTGATCTGCAGGCAACAAGAGACTGTGACACATTGGGTGTAGTTTGAGCATATGAGACCTCAAAGCTTGACCCCCCACAGTGACACACTACTTCCAACAAGACCACACCCCTAATAGTCACCTCCCTATGGCCAAGCATTCAAATACATCCATCTATGGGAGCCATACTATTCAAACTACCACATTTCACACTCTGGCTGTTGTTGTAGAATGTTATTTTAAGATGTGTTACATTTGTTTAAGCTGTGGAACATTTGTTTAATGATGCAAAGGTGTGTTGCATTCTTTTATGTTGCATTTGTTTAACTCTGTGAAGCTGTGTTACTTTGTCTGTCTAAAACGCCTGATGGCCTAATAAAGAGCTAAAGGGCCAGTAGTGAGGCAGGAGAAAGGATGGATGGGGTGGGCAGGCAGAGAGAATAAACAGAAGGAGCAAGAAAGGGAGGGGACACTAGGGGCCAGCCATGGACTAAGAGTGAAAGTAAGATATACAAATGTAAGAAAAGGAAAAAGCCCAGAGGCAAAAGGTAGATGTGATGATTAAATTAAGAAAAGCTGGCTAGCAACAAGCCAAGCTAAAGCCACCTCTGTGTGAATGATCTTTTTGTTTGTTTTGTTGGTTGGTTTTGTGTTTTTCGAGACAGGGTTTCTCTGTGTAATAGCCCTATCTGTCCTGGAACTGGCTTTGTGGAACTCAGAGATCTGCCTGCCTCTGCCTCCTAAGTGCTGAGATTTAAGGCATGTGCCACCACCACCTGGCCTCTGTGTGAATTATTTGAGAGCTGGGTGGCAGGCCCCCACAAAGAGCCAAAGAGTCAAAAGAGTAAATAACAACTGCAGGCAGCCATGGGTTTGTAGTCAAAATGTAATGCAAAAATGCATTCAGTCCAACTTCAAAAGTCTCCATAGTCTAACAGTCTCAAACTGCTTTTCTAATCCAAACTTCCCAAGTCCACATTCTTCCGAACAAAAGCATGGTCAGATCTATCACAGTGATACCCCAGTCCCTGGTACAAACTTCTGTCTTTAGGTTTTATTGTTGTGAAGAGACACCATAATCATAGCAACTCTTATAAAGGAAACATTTAGTTGGAGATGGCTTATAGTTTCTGAGGTTTTAGTCCATTATCCTCATGGCAGGAAATATGGCAGGAAATATGCTGGAGAAAGAGCTGAGTGTTCTACATTTTGAAATGCAGGCAACAGGAAGAAGAATGGCTGAGACTTCAAAGTCCACCCCTACAGTAACAAACTTACCCCAGCAAGGCCACATCTCCTAATATAGTTCCTCTCCCTATGGGCCAAGCATTCAAATATATGAGCCTATGGGGTCTATACCTAGTCAAACCACTACAGGGAGGGGAGGGGGTAATAGTAAACAGATAAATATCTGAAGACTATCTTTTCCACTTCTATACCTAACTACATAGATGGGACTGTGAAGGTCAGAGATATTACATAATTTCACAGTTTTTTTTTTCTGTTTATAGAACTTTATAATTGCTTTCTTAAGATTTACTGTGTGTGTGTGTGCATGCGTGTGTGCACGCACATTTGGGAGTGTGTTCATGCATACAGAGTGCCTGTGGCAATCAGAAAAGGGCATTAATACCTTGGTATAGGTGTCACAGGCTGTTGTGAGCTGCCCATTTTAGGTGGTGGGAAACTATCACATGTCCTATTCAAGAGTAACAAGTTCAAAGGGCACTCTTAACTACTGAGTTATTTCTCCTTTATATACAGTTTCTTATTTTGAAGTGGTAAATCTTACCTCTTAAATTTTGTTGACAGTAATGATCATATAGAATTGTGGGTAAGGTAGTGGAATCTGCAGTCTGGTTGCTAAAGTTCATCATGAGTCCAGATTCCAGAGGATAAAAGACTAGATGCAGAGCTGGCAATCTTCATGTCCTTTAGAAACTAGTTCATTACTTGGGAGTTTGCATCAATCTCAAGAATCTCATTCTGGCTACAAAGGGTGTCTGTTGAATTAATCTTAATCCCTGAGTGTATCCAGAATACATGCCTGGGCTTCTGCTCTCATAGATGATTTCCTAAAGAAAATAGGAACTTGACTTGTTCAAGAATTCAGTAATAAAAACACTTCACTGATCATAAGTGATATGAGTTATTTCAAAAGTTGTCTGTTTTTTATCATGTGCATGCAAGTATTCACCAAGTTTTGGATGAGAAAATTATCCTAATAAAGGCAATAAATCAGCTACATGTTTGTTAAATAAATATATGAATGAGATAGTACAGCAGAGACTATGTTTCCTATGCAGGTGCTCACAAATTGTACATAATAAGTCTATAATGACTACCATAACATATGGAAGTGCTAACAAGAACAAAACTATAACAGAATGATCACTTTTAGAAAACTTTAACTTGTTCCAAAAGTACGGCTGTTCCTGGGGACCTGTCCGTGGTGCTGAAGAGATGGACACAGTGTTCAAGGATACTCTAAATCCCTGGTACATGTTTTCTTCTAGGTGTCTGTTTGCAGTGACAGCAGTATAGATAAAAATCATTTGCTAGGTATTATTTTCTATTTTTAAAAATTGAATGGATTTAAGAATAATAGCTTTACCATTAGTTTACATACTGATAAATTCATTTTTGTCATGTGTACAACTCAGTAGATTTTAGTGTGTTCATAAAGCGTTTGAACTGTCATTCCTCCATATTTTTACTACCACAAAAAGTAATCTTATATCTATAGTGATAACTCAATATTCTCTATCCCTTTTCCTCTGGCAAGCATAAATCTATCTCCTATCTATGTAAATTTGTCTATTCTGGATATTTCATGTAGAGAGAGTCATTCGGTGTGGCTTTTCATGATTGATTTCCTTCACAATTCAAGTTTCAGGGATTGTATTTGCATTAATATGAATCAGTACTTTGCTGTTTTTAATTGACAGGTCTGTTGTGTGAACATACCACATTTTATTGATCTGTTCAGCACTTGGTGGGCAGTTGAACTGTTTCTACTATTTGGTTGTTATTTTAAGGGCTTCCATGAACACCCATGTGTAACTTCTTGTGTACATTGTTTTCAGTATTTTAAAGTGTATGCCTAGGACTGGAATTGTTGAGTTATATGATGCTTTTAATGTCTAGATGAACTTCCAAATACCTTTCCAAAATAACTATGCCATTTTACCTTTCCATTATGGGTGTATGAGGGCTCCAATTTTTCCACATCCTCACTGTGCTGCTTAATTCTGTCAGTGTGACCCAACCTATAATCACCTAAAAAAAGCCAATTGGTGAATTGTCTAGAACAGTTGGCTTATAGGCATGTCTATGGAGGATTGTCTTCACTGCTAATTGATGTATGAAGTTCACTGTGAACTGCATTTTCTCCTAGGTCAGGCCCTGAGACACATGTCTAGATGACCAGGAAGTGGAGAGTGGATAGCCCAGAGACCCAGGATCAAACAAGACATGACTGACAAAAATGAAATAAAAGTAAATAAATAGAAAACCAATACAATGATTCCTCATAATGTTCTTCTGTACTCACAGATGGGTGCTTGTCCAGTCTTCATCAGAGAGGCTTCCTCAGGCAGCTGATGCAGAGCCCATAACCAAACATTAGGCAGAGACAGGGAATCCAGGTTGGAGTTCCCCATCAGGTCCCTCCCCTCGAAATTCAGGGAGCACCATGGAAGAGAGGGGAGAAGGAATTGTGGGAGCCAGGGGATGTGAGGACACCAGGTCCAAGGAAGCAACTAAGCAGGGTTTGTGAGGCTCGCGGAGATTGAAGCACCTATCACAGGGCTTCCCTGGGTCAGCACTAGGTCCTCTGTATATGTTATGGTTGCTGGCTCGGTATTTTTGTGGGTCTCCTGACAGTGGGAGTGGGGTCTCTCGACTCTTGCCTTCTCTCAAGGCCCCTTTCCTCCTATCAGTTTGGTTCACCCAGCCTTGATATGAAGGTTTGTGTTGGTTTTATTTCATGTTCTGATGATGTCCTTGGGAGGCTGGCCTTTCTTTGGGAGTAGACGGGGGGGGGGGTGTGAATCTGTGGGGAGAAGGGTGGTGGTGTATGGGAAACTGGGAGGAGTGGAGGAAAGGGAAGCTGTGTCCAGAGAGAGGGTTGTGTTCCTCTTACTACATGGCAGGATAAGTAACAGTATCTAATGAGTAAAGCAAGATTAGTGTTCTTTCCTTGAAAGGCCCAAGTGTATT